ATGCGAGGTTGAAGACCCCACTTCTTACCAATAGCTTTCTGACATAGAAGAAGCGCAACATTGGCTTTTCTTGCACGCCCTAGAGTGTTTTTCTTCCAAGTGAGTTTCCTGTCGAAAACTATACCTAAAAATTTGGCTTCCTCCTTCACATGTATCACAGAACCTCGTAGAGAGGGTGGAGAAAGATTCGGGACCGTATGTTTTCTTGTGAAAACTACGATTTCAGTTTTATTGGGATTCACCCCAAGGCCACATTTTTGTGTCCAATTGTTTAGGATATTAAGACCATTTTGTAGAATATCCCTAAGAGTGGTAGTATATTTTCCGGTGACTGTTATCGCAATATCATCCGCATATGCAATAGTTTCGCATCCCTCCGCCTTCAGTTGTATTAGCAGTTCATTCACCACTATGTTCCAAAGGAGAGGGAAGAGTACTCCTCCTTGGGGGGTACCTCTATTTACCCTTCTGCGTGCCGTTGATGAGCCCATCGTTGCTTCAATGAGTCTGCCAGTTAGCAGCTGATTTATAAAGCCAATGAGCGCATCAGCAACACCCAGACGCGAGATCGCGCTTACTATTGCACTCGGGAGTATATTGTTAAAGGCCCCTTCAATATCTACAAAAGCAACCATACAAAATTCTTTGAGTTTTATGGATTTTTCTATTCTGTAAGTGAGGGAGTGGAGAGCTGTCTCTGTAGATTTTCCCTTAGTGTAGGCATGCTGTGAGGGGGACCACTGGTTGGGGCTTACAGCACGCCTTACTTCTACGTCTATTATTCTTTCAAGAGCCTTCAACATGAACGAGGAGAGGCTTATAGGACGGAGTTCATTGGGGTTATGGTGCGAGGTTTTTCCTGTTTTGGGTATAAAAACTACTCTAACCTCCCTCCATTTAATCGGGACATAGTTAAATAAGAAACAGTGTCTAAAAATTGCCAAAAGGCGGTTGTGTATTAACTCCCACGAATTCTGGAGCTCAATTGGATGAATACCATCCGGTCCTGGTGATTTGTAGGGTTTAAAACTAAAAATAGCCCATTTCACGATCTGCAGGTTAACCTTAATGGAGTTAACCGGTGAGAGATTAAGGCACTCTGAGGATGAAGCTACCGAAGTAGAAGATCCCGGAAAGTGAGTATCTAGTAGTAATTGTAAAGATTCGCTACTATTATTGCACCATGTCCCGTCAGATTTTTTGAGTAACTCTGGGACAGATGGATTTTTGGATAAGATTTTACGCAGTCTAGAGGTTTCAGAATTGCTATTTATTTCTTGACAGTACGATTGCCAAGTGTCTCTCTTGGACCTACGTAAATTTTTCTTATATTCTTGCAGAGAGGTTTTGTAATTCAGCCAATCACTCTCATTATTATATAGTTTTGCTCTGTTGA